TGCATGCATAGCCCAATTGAAGGGAAGATTTATAAAAGGAGATAGAACGAAGCACATTTCACCAAAATTATTCTATACACACGACATTCAGAAAAATGTTGACATTGATGTGCAACAAATTCGTTCAAGTGATAATCCAGCAGATTTATTCACTAAATCTTTACCAACTTCAACTTTTGAGAAGATGGTATACAAGATTGGAATGCGGAGACTCAAATATTTGAAACAAGGTTTTCATCAGGGGGAGTAAAATACGCGATGCACTCTTTTTCCCTTACTAAGGTTTTTTCCCATGGGGTTTTCCTTATAAGGTTTTTAATGAGGCACCTAGCAATGCATATTACTAAATATGTGTATTCTTTTTCCTTCACTAGAATTTTTTTTCACGTGGTTTTTCCTAGTAAGGTTTTAATGAGGCACATTATCTTTTAATGAACATCCAGGGGGAATGTTATAAATATTATATTATGGATGTTCATTTAGTACTCTGTTGTAAATAAGCTTCCTGAAGAAGCTTATCCATATGGGAATCCGCCGTAAAATATATTTATCTATTTAGTACTCTATTGGAAATAAGCTTCCTGAAGAAGCTTATCATTTCGGTACCGGTTATGGATAAACATTACCCCCGGTAGAAGATTATCCATATCGGGTATAATAAGCTTATCTTTTCGATACTCCATTATGGATAAACATTATCCCCGGTAGAAGATTATCCATATCGGGTATAATAAGCTTATCTTTTCGATACTCCATTATGGATAAACATTATCCCCGGTAGAAGATTATCCATACCGGGTACAATGAGCTTATCCATTCAGTACTCCGTTATGGATAAACATTGCTTTCAGTAGAAGATTATCCATATATGGTATAGTAGCAGTTTACACAACAGCTTCCTTTTTTCTATAAATAGAAGAGATTTCAGTGCATTATGTACATGAGTTTGAATTCGAATAATATATCAGTTTCTCTTTATACTTGTCTTTACTTTACAGTCGTTATTTTATAACAATTCCTACATTCGGTATAAACAATCCTTATAATATTGCTTATGTTGAAAATACTAATAATGGATGTTCATATTGAGCTCCATCATTTAACGGTAGTAATTATTCCTCCTACTATTTTAGTGGTCATTCCTCCCACTATCGTATAATAGTGATTCTTCATTTTTCATGCCTATATAAAAGCTTTGTAATAGATGGGCAAATACACACAATTGAAGAGGAAAAACTCCTCCTTCTTTCTATCTATATTTATTATTTACTAAATTATTTTTATTTCATAACACGTTATCAGCACGATTGTTATCTTCATTTTCACAATCACATCCTAGTTGTGTTCGATTCTCCTTCACGTATATCACTATATATTCATTGATTTATGGTATATATATATATATATATATGCATACTGATATTTTTAACAAATTCATATATTATTAAGCATTTATTTTAGTTGATCATGTTACTGAATACCTTGCTTATTGTTAAAGAAAATATAAGATATAGATCTTAAGTGCGTTAAACTAACAAAAATAATTTAATAAATATGTGCGAACTTGCGTAGAGCAAAATTTATTTTCAAGACATTTTACAAAAACAAAACAGTTATAACTAAGGTGAAAAAGAAATAATTGTACATACTAGTTTAAATTACTTTACAATTGGTGGAAAATACTATTTGAATATATTCACTCTTATCACCATATATGGTTATTCCTCAAATCCTCGTTTATAATAAATTGCTTTTCTTTTGCTATACTGAATATATCTCTTTATGTATTCATATACTCCATAATTCTTGTTTATTTGACATATATATTATATGTTATTTACACCTCTCTTTTTTATATACTATATGTTTAAAGTGATCAACTTCTTAATTAGTTGCCTGAAATTATTTTTACAAGTATATTTTCATTGAAAATTATTTTTATTCTTTCTAACCCATTTACTTTTGTGATTAGTTTCAATATGTTAAACTTGTCAAAGTTTGAATTCGTAGCAGAAGATATTACCGAAAAAAATTATTTATCATGGGTCTTTAATGCTGAAATTCACCTTGACACTAAAGGTCTTGGGAATACTATTATAGTAGGAAATGAAGCATCAAATCAGGATAAAGCGAAGGCCATGATTTTCCTTCGTCATCATCCAAAGGATTAAAAACTGAATATTTAACTGTAAAAGATCCACTTGAATTATGGATTAATTTGAAAGATCGATATGACCACCTAAAACTTAAGGTATAATAACCAAAAACTCGGTATGAGTGAATACATTTAAGGTTGCAAGACTTTAAAACCGTAAGTGAGTATAATTCTGCTATCTTTAAAGTAAATTCTCTATCAAAATTATGTGAAGACACTATGAGGACTTATTGGAGAAAATATTTTCTACTTTTCACGTTACAAATGTGGTGCTACAACAACAATACCGTAAAAAGGGTTTTAAGAAATATTATGAGTTAATAACATGCCTACTTGTGACAAAGCAGAATAATATTCTATTAATAAAAAATCATGAAGCCCATCCCACTGGGTCAACTACATTTTCGGAAGTGAATGTTGTAGCAGCATATGATAAGTCTGAAAGAAAACAAAATAATTACCGTGGTCATGGACATGGACGTGGCAGGGGACGGAACAATTATCGTCATTATAGTAGAAATAAACATGAGAACAATAAGAGTTCTCAAATATACTTCAAAAGGTAAAATTAATATATGTCACTGATATGGTATGAAAGGTCATTGGGCATGCATTTGTCGTACACCAGATCATTTTGTCAAACTTTATCAAGCCTCCTTCAGAAAGAAAGAAAATAATGTGAAGGCACACTTGACCTTTCAAAATAATGATGATGAAGCAGGCCCCTCAAACAAATATAATTCTGAGGTACATCTTGCATATAAAGATGATGATTTTGGAGACCTTGAAAATATTGTATAAATGATTTAGTAACTGGAGACTTCTTTGAGGATATTGACTAAAGAACTAATCATCTTATTAGGGAATGAAGCTATAATAAAAATTATCGTTTTTCATTTGTGTTTGCAACTAGTTTATTTTTCTTGAGTGTATTTTCCTAATATATTGGCTAGTTTCTACATTCCTAATATATTTCTTAATATTTTTTTCTGTTAGTCTTTCATATTTCTTATGGTATACTTTTTGATTTTTTATGAAGAATATGATAATTCCCAGTCTTCATTTGGACTCAAGATTAATAAAGATGATATATGTCTTCTGGATAGTGCTACAACACACACTATTTTAAGAGATAAAAGATATTTCTCTTATTTGGTAATGAAAGAAGCCAATGTTAATACAATATCTAGTAGTACAAGATTAATTGAAAGTTCTGGAAGAGCCAATTTATTACTACCAGGAGGAACAAATTTGGCTATTGATGAAGCACTACATTGTGGTAAATCTCAAAGAAACATATTAAGTTTCAAAGATATTCGCTAAAATGACTACCATATTGAGACTACAAATGATGAAAAGATTGAATAACTTTATATTACTACAATAATATCTGGTAAGAAATATGTACTTGAAATGTTACCTGCTATTTCCTACGAATTATATTACACAAGTATTAGCATGATTGATACACATGTCGTAGTAAACAAAAAGTTTACTAATCAAGATAATTTTATTATTTGGCATGCCCAGCTAGGTCATCTTGGTTCTACTATGATGCATAAAATAATGAGAATTTACATGGACATTCAATGAAGAACCAAAAGATTCTTCAATTTAAGGAATTCTCTTGTGTTGCATGTTGTCAAGACAAATTAATTATTAGACCATCAATGATTAAAGTTAGGATGAAATCTCATGCATTTCTGGAACGTATACATGATGATATATGTGGGCTCATTCACCCTCCGTGTGGACCATTCAGATATTATATGGTTTTGGCAAATGCATCTACAAGATGGTCAATGTGTGTTTATTATCAACTCGCAATATGACATTTACGAGATTGTTGGCTCAAATAATAAAGCTAAGAGCATATTTTCCAGATTATGCAACTAAGACAATTCGTCTTGATAATGCTGGTGAGTTTACATCTTAGGCTTTTACTGATTATTGTATATCAACTGGGATAACAATTGAGCATCTGGTTGCTCATGTTTATACACAAAATAGTCTAGCGGAATCATTGATCAAACGGCTCCAATTAATTGCTAGACCAATGCTTATGAGAACAAAATTTCCCATTTCAGTATGGGGCCATGCTATTTTGCATGCAGTAGCAATACTTGTGCAGAAACGGCCCACAAGTTATCATAAAGTATTCCCATTGCAATTGGCTTTTGGTCAGGAGCCAAATATTTCTCATCTTAGAATCTTTAATTGTGCGGGATATGTTCCAATTGCTCCACCGCAACGCACAAAGATGGGTCCTCAAAGAAGATTGGGAATATATGTTGCGTATAAATCTCCTTCTATTATAAAATATCTGGAGCCTATGACTGAAGATTTATTTACGGCAAGATTTTCTGATTGTCATTTTGATGAATTAGTATACCCAACATTAGGGGGAAAAAATAAGCATCTATGAAAGGAGATAGATTGGAATGCATTATCACTATCTCATTTAGATCCTCGAACAAATCAACGTGAACAAGAGGTTCAAAAGATAATTCATTTGTAAAATGTTGCAAATCAACTGCCAGATGCATTCATTGACCTACCAAGGGTAACTAAGTCACATATTCCAGCTGCTAATACTCCAATCCGAGTTGATATCCCGGTAGGACAATCAATTAAAACAAATGAGTTTAAACCACGCTTGAAACATGATAGACCAATCAGTTCTAAAGATAAAATCTCCGAAAAAGAAAAGGAGCAAATGATCATAATACGGAGGTAGTGACTCAAGAAGAGCACAAAGACATAACAAATGATAAGACCTCAAGGGAGGTTTAAGTACCTGAAAATAATGAGAATGAAGAGATCTCAAATAAGTTATGTCTCAACGGAAAAAAGATGGAACTGAATATCTTGATTGCCAAATGCTTGTGCGTTGTGATCAACCTAGAAAGAACATGTCTCTCCTTCATTAAATACTTGGTGCTACAAATCCCATTGGCAAATCAAAGAAACCTCAACTACATTTATGTCAGCTGAAAAGAAGCATCAAATGATGAATGAATGATATTTTACAGTCAACTGCGAAGTGAAAGTCAGTCTTAATGGCCATTGTTGCATAGTCCGCATTGATGTTTGAATTTCCAGGAGATATTTTAGGCTGTTGTGTTAGTCTTTATGACAAAGTGTCTTCCTATTCTCCAGCTTAGCGCATCTGCAACGATAGGTAGTAGCCTTCTCTAATAAGGCTTCCTTTTCATAAGAAAGGGCCAGGCAATGACATCTCCTTTCTGGATGAAGACTGCACCAATCTCCTTTCTATTTTCCAGAAGCATCCCTCAGTCTTTAAACGAACTCTTGAGAGAAACAGGGAGGGCCAACACTGTGGTTACAACAACCTTCAGAGATTCAAAAGCTTGGTTGGCTTCTTGACTCCACTGAGAGCTATCCTTCTTCAATAGATCGGTTTGAGATCTAACAAGATCATGCCCGTTTATGAAAGACCTATAATAGTCAATTAACTGGGCATGGCAATGGGGTGAGGCAAGGCTTGGAAAGGTTTAGTGCTAAGGGTGAGGGAAGCTCTTAGCAAAGCAATGAATGCAATGCATTTGTCTGAAGACATTAGTCATTTAAAGTATGTACTTCAATGTTTCCGAAGTTAGAGAACGTTTTCACATAGGAACTTATATTCAAAGACCCTCTCTCTGGCGCTAGCAAAAGGCCTAACTCTTAATTCTTCTAGGACCATTTTGGAATTCCTTCCAAAGCCTTCAAATTATCTTTATGGGTAGTGTCATTGCACCAATTCATATGATCCCTTTTTGCTGGCTTTGCACCTGCCATCACATTTGTGGTAAGACTCATTATTATCAATTCTACAAAGCCCCTATTTCATTCAATTAGCTTAATCACCAAGAAATAAGCAAATCGCTTTGCAGAGAGTACTTAGGGCATTTGGAAGTACTTTTACAGAGTTTGATAAATACCCGAAAACACTTACTACAAACAAACTTTATGGCCAAAACACTCAGTTTTACATGTTTTGGTAATCAAGTGCTTTTATATCTTGACCACCAAAACTAACAGTTAACTTTGTTTTGTTTCTTTCTAATGCATCTATGAAAACTCACTGCCACACACAAGTACTTTAACCAACTAGCATGAGATAATCAAATCTGAAACTCATCAACCATTTCTACAATTCATATAGAACGTTGGAAGAGATCTCTTACGTCTGATCAAGAAAAGAAGTTTCTTTTGATGTGGACTTGGAACCATTGATGCTTCCCAATCGTTTTACACCAGTTGCCCATCTCTCCATGTCCTCTTTCACTTCCCATATCTTGCTTTCTGTTTCCCAATCCCATATTCTCTTGATGGTTGAGAATAAACCTCTGTCGCACTTTGTATTCATACCTGAATGCTATATGATAAATTCACCAGAAACAAGACAAAGAAAATCAGAAGCTAGCTCAATCAACCAGCAGACTAGCTTGATGAGCTTGTCTTTGGAGTTGTCAACGCTAGACGTGAGTATTAATTCCTGGGCCAATTTGATAAGTTTAAATGTTTAAATGTTTTTCTCAGGGTGCCTAATGGAGTAAATATGATCATGACAACAAACTCAATTAATGGATGTAACCTGGAAAATGATCTTGTTTTGAGAAATGAAGGTCAAAGGAATTGAATAACTTTGATGTCATATGGATTTGGAAAGCTGCTTCTTCTCATTGAGTTTTGGAAAGGGAAAACACACCAACTGACTCAAAATTTCAGATCAGAAATGAAATGAGACTGGGATTAAAAAAAATTGTATTTACCTCTTGAGAGGAAGCCGATATAACCAACAACCCATCTGAATGACCTGGGCTTTCAGAATTCAGTATGAGAGGTTGTTTTACAGCAATGCCTGCCATGTCGACATCAAGAAATCCAAATTCCACCATCCTATTCAGCACTCTAGCTTGGAAGGTTTTTCCTCTGAGGATATCACACCAAGGTTTTATATTTTCAGACAAGAAATAAAATGCAAGTACCCCATAAAAACACCAGAAGAAGCTATGTCCGCCAAGGAAAAAGTAAGTAACAAGTTCATTGAGCTACAAAACCTGCTAGAGTCCCTGAACGGTGACCGGAGTTCTGGGGCTGGTATCATTGCTGCAAGCATAGCACATTCCCCCAAGCTAAGAAGAGATATATGCTTCCCAAAATAAAATTTTGATGCAGATTGAATACCATAAATGCCATGTCCCCAATATATCTGGTTTGTCACAGGCTCTGTTAAATTTTCACGCATAACAATAAGGAAAACCAAAATAGCTTACAGGACATGCCATGGAGGGATAAACATGATGTTTTTATCCATTTGATAATATCGTTGGAATATCATTTAGTCGATGTATTTACCAACAAAGGTCATTTTGCATTCCTCAGTTTTATCTCATCCGAAGCCACAACCGGATCGTAAACGAATTAAGCAAAAATAAACTAATCTGAAGAAAGAAACAAAAGAAAAATGCATTTATTTTCCAGTCCTTGAAGTAATTTATGAATGAAGTTGAGATAGAAACGAATGAAGATGTACTTGACCTTACACAAATAAGCACTCAAGATTTCCATTTTTGAGATTGTTCCCTCTAGTGCTAAAGCCAGAATCATCTCAACAATTTTCCTCAGGAATGTGCGTTCATTCTTCAAGAATGAATTTTTCACAAGCTGCCACAGGCAAGAAGTTTACAATGAAGAAACAGACTTATTTGAAAAGAGTCTAATAGCACACACAGAAAGTCACATCTTTGCGATTCCAGTAAATAGAACTAAATAGCAGGTAAAAATAATGAGAATTAAGAACATTTTACATAAAGGAAACTTTAGTAATGGTGCAAAGGTGATCTGGACAAACTGAACTTAAACTCTGAATTTTGACTTAATAATAAAGGCTGAAGTAGAAAAGGAAAAGCTGGCAGCCGCCTGAACCTTAAAAAGGCATTATAGTTGGCCAGATCTTTAGGTTGAAATTTCAGCAAGATGTTGTCACATATTAGTGAGCATAAGCAATCATGTTAAATCACGGATGCTGTAAAAATCACATTTGATTCCTTTGGCTGGTAAAGTTGGACTTCCTACAAGTGCACCAGATGAGATTCAGATAGGAGATGGGACCAGTCCAGAAGGATAGTACACTTTGTGTTTAATGAGAAAGAAAAAGGGAAGTGCTCTTTTTGCAACAATTCTAGGGGAAACTCCTAGCAGCACTAATCGCCATTTTGTCCTCATTTAATTAAGAGATGGAATTATTGGGTTCTTATAATCGCCAGGTATTTTCGACGTATAAATGAAGTACAACAAATAGTTCAACATAAAGCAAGATCTTTTCCTTTCTACTGGGGTTGGAGGGTGGGGTAAGGGAAAAGGGATGGTCATAGTGGAGGTGTCCGGATGAAACATACATTTCTACGTTGAATGAGTTATGCATAAAAAGGTGCTAGCTATTTTCCAATGAAGAAATCAGAATATCATGAACGTGATGCTCATCCAACCTTGCTCTAGATCACTACTAAAAATAAAAGACTACTATTGAAGACCCTCGAAGCTGATATAGAATTCAGGGTCTCATTCGAATGGCTGTCAAGTTGATGTTCCACAATGAAATCTCCTGTTGCTTCTTTTTGACCTAACATACTCTGCAAGTCTAACATACCTCAATCACAAAACCAAATTATTCTTATTTTTTGAGTACTTAACAAAGCCCAGACATAGCATCCTCCATGCCGTTTTGAATAGTTCTGCCACTAAAACATCTTTGCTTTTAGGATAAGCAGTATTATTTTACTTCTAGTTTGTTTCGTTTGTTTTTGCCCCTTTTGGGTGGAAGGAACAAGACCTAATATCTCATCCGATATAGAGATTAGAGACTGCCTTGCGCCATTTACCAGACACAAGACATCAAACACATTTGCTGTATCTAAACAAACTTGAACCAAGAGTTAAGAATGGAATGCATTCCCTTTTGGGTAAATATTCAATATTCATGTTTCTTCATGAGTAACCTAATATACATTTGGACACAATTTACAGATTATCTGCACTCCACTTCTATAAAATCAAGTAGCACCAGCTAGACTCTATCTTGGACCCGAGATCTGTTGGGACGAAATATAAGAGAAGCAAGCATTAGAGATGCTCCTAGAGGTTGTATGAGAAGTATTTGCTTGCGGATATAACATGACATCAATCTGACCTCCATCTTCTTCCATGGTTGATGCCTCAGCAAAACGTCGCCCGTAGAAACGTAAAAAGTTAAGAGATTCCATTCTTGGCTCAGTTGGTGGTATCTCGCCTTCCAACATGCCTACCACACTAACCATAGTTGGCCTGAGAGCTGGCTCCTCATGGACACAACACAATGCAACCCGCACGAACTTCTCGATATCTCCACTACTGACCCGCCCTTCAAGTTTTGGGTCAGCAAGTTCAAGGTGCCTTCCTTGCTCGTGCATCTCTAATGCAAATAAAGGGAAATACACAAGTCCCTGTGCAGACGAAGATGATGAGTGATCTCCAGTGGCAGTATCATCAAGGCTGTGACTTTGTGTTCTTTTAGAACAGTTTTTCCTTCCACTTACAATTTCAAGGAGTACCATTCCAAAGCTGTAAACATCAGTTTTTTCTGAGATTGCAGAACTTGTGAGCCATTCAGGAGCAAGGTAGCCACGAGTCCCCCTCATTGTTGTGAATAGACTGGACTGTTCACGATTCAGAAGCTTGGAGAGGCCAAAATCAGATATTTTTGCCTGAAAGTTATCATGCAAGAGAATGTTCTCTGGCTTTACATCACAGTGGACGATCTTTTGTTCACAGCCATTGTGNCTATGCAAGTATGCAAGTCCACGGGCAGAACCAAGAGCTATCTCAACCCGTTCTTGCCATTCCAGGACAGGTCCATTACCAAAAAGAGTGCGATCAAGCGACCCACGGTTCATATATTCATAAACCAATAGGCGTTGTCTCTCTTGAGCACAGAAACCTTTCAACTTGACCAAGTTTATATGGTGAATACTACCAATTATTGCAATCTCAGTACAAAAATCTCTCTGTCCTTGGATGCCCAAATTTATTATCTTTTTTACTGCAACAAGAGTTTTGTCAGGGAGCACACCCTTATATACAGCACCAAAGCCTCCTGTCCCAATCTGAATCTTGAAGTTATCAGTAGCAGCCTCAAGCTCTTTGTACTCGAACCTCACAGGTAATCCTGGGATGGAGAAGGCATCTAGGTCCTCTGAAGAAGGAGAATTAGGTCGGCTTATTTTTGATTTTATCTTCCCGAATTGTTGGGTTCGTGATCTTCTCCACAATATGAAACCCAGTGCCATCAGGAGGAAGACTCCAGTGAAAGGTAAGAGCACTGTTGCAACTAAAGGAAAGCTTACAGTTTCCTGATCAAAATTATTATTATCCCCAAAGGTTGTTGAAGCTCCAACCAAGATCTTAACAAATCCCAACAGATTATTATTACTTGTCCTTGCCATAATTGACCCTAATTCTTCTTCAAGTTTGTAACAAGAACCAGATGTGTTTGCATAGAATATCCCCAAGCATGAACAGTCTACTGAGCAGAGATTTTGACACATCGATAGATTTACCCCATACCTGAAGGGCATGGTAAAATCAGTAGTGAAGTAGTCCATACCAAAGCCAAGTCTTATGTATGACGCAGAAGAAGAATTTGATGGACTGCTATAGTTGGTGGAATTACAAGAAACTGGCAAAGAATAAGAACTGTCAGTAGGCACACAGCTGGTTGAGTTATGTGATCTAAGATTGAAATTAGCAGGACAGGAACATATAGGATTATCTGATAACACATCGGAGGTGCATATACCAAGCCCTCCACAAACATAAGGTACTCGACACCCATCTACCGGCGCAACAAAATCCTGTTTAATGTCAGCGCCAACAAAACTACTAACGATAAACTGGCCTGAATCATCCAACTTGGCAAAACGAAAAGTGGATTTTAACAAGTTCACCATTATGACAACTACAGAACCATTTTGACCAAAAAGATACAGACCTGTCTGATTGACAGCCATGTATTCCACTTCATAATTTGAATTAGTATAAGATTTGGTCTCCATGGACAACTTCCAGTATGTCAGACCTTGCCACTGTAAAATAGCATCTGAAGCAGTCAAAGAAAGCCTGTAATGACCCTTTGACAAGTCATCACCTGACATTGCACTAGAAAGCATCATGCCAACAGGCAACTTCTGTCCAATAACAATGGTATCTGTTGGATGATTAAAGCTTTCCCAAAGTGTCCCGTTAAACTGATCAAGAAGAAGGAGATTTCCAGCCTCAGTTAGCTGCATCGCGTATACTGCTGACGTTGATGGTGGAGTTGACCATTTAAAGCTGCCATCTTTTTCAGTAATGTTGATACCATTCTTAGTCAACCTCATAACTCCTGAATTTGAAACAGGTGAATCACCATTTGCTGACCAGATAATGGTATTGGATTCCACATGGATAACACACAAATAAAAATTAACTTGTTCAGAACCGGGATTGAAGATAGCAGCTTTGAACGTTCCATTGCGAGAAAACAAGAAACTTCCAGTGCTATCGATAAATTGGAGATTGGAAGCAGTAAAGTTGGGATAGACAAATTCTGTCAAGGTAAATCCAAAGACAGGACTAATGAACAAAGATACAATGAGAAAGAATAAGATGGACTCCATATAGAGTAATGATGAAAGAAAGAACAAAAACAGCTTGGCTGGAAATTGTACAGATGCGGCTGGAAATGGTCTACTATTACTTTATGCATTTGCTTTTTCATACTTCCCTCTATTGTTTAAAGTTGACTACTGAATTAACTCTGTTTACACCAGCTTGATAATGATTGGTGACCAAGTTGAGATATGTGTCACATTAGGTGATAGCAACAACTGAGGATGTAAAATATAACATTTGCAGCGTCTATCTGGCATGATCGCCTGAATTCATGGTTATAAATAGTAAGTATATTGAACATTCATGAACCATGACCTCTTAAAATATTTTCTAAAGCCATTATTCAAACAAAAGGCATAATTTACTTTGAATTCTATATTCAGTTGAGGTGACACTACCCATTATTTAATTAATTAAAAAGAGTAGTGGTTTTCCTACAACTATAAAGAAAGAAGACAAAGTGCAACATGTAATTCTTCTTACCGAAGACCACTTGTAATAGCAATGGAGTTATGGTTCAATCTTTATTTTACTGGAGATAGTTGAGTTGAGAGCAACTGTTACCTATATTAAGTCTTTATTGACACCCATCATACACCTTTCCCACTGACAGCCCATTTCTTGTCTAAAATATTCTACCATACACAGACCATCCTACTTCTACAATTTAGCATGTCAAGCCTTAAAAACAACCCCCNAAGGAGAGTTACATAGCTAAATTAATTTTCCAGCTTTAACTATCCTAGCCATAATCCCAATATAAAATAAGTAAAGTAGAAAGCAGAGGGTGAAGTGCTCAAATAGCTCCTTTGGGGCCACTGTTTATACTTTGTCATGTTTTAAAATATTTTGCAAATATAACCTGTACGCTAAACAATCAGAAGAGCGGGAAATTTACGTCTAAATTTTGGACATACATTTCTTATAGTTTTCCCACATTGGGCCTAAAGTTCCCATTGAACTTGAGTGATTTAGAAGATCATCGGGTTTAAGATTCTCAGTAAACATAGGTGAAAGTGAAACCCTACGAATTGGTTAAAAACTTCTTCTACAACTTCTCAGTGAACCTGGGTTAAAAGTTAAAACTTAAAACTTATGCTTATGAAAGGGATGTCATAATTTGCTAAGGTTTTAAAAAATGGGACTAAATATAAATGGTAGTTTGAAAAAGGGACACTCAGTTATATTTTTGGCGTTAAAGAAATGACAGAAGTCAACGCTCAAAAGTGATCCATTCTCCTACTACCACTACTGTCCCCGACTAAGCCTGTTCATATGTGGGCTTTGGGCCTGCTCATCTGGTTTCCTGTGGGCCGTTATGACAGAGGAACAAAGCCTGTGGCCCAGCTATCTTGGCCTGGTTGTTTAACCCCGAAAAGTACACAAAATTACGAAGAAGCAACTTATTCGTTGAGGCATAACAACAAACAACCTATCTGCGTACTTGAGTACCTGTTGGGTAATTGTGCTGCCACCACCAAGAGACGAGAGCGACAAAACAGCACGAGCAACGCCAACGGGATCGACCCCAAAATGGTGAAAGAAGCGTCTATCCTCGTAGGCAACCACAGCTTGTATCAAATGCTGAGGACAACTACCCATCACCTCCAACTCAGCTCGTTTAGAGAAAGCAATGAGTCGGGTCCATCTTTGAGGAAACTCAGGAACAAGAATTGTTGAAACGATGCGAAGGGAAAGAAGTGCAAATGAAAACGTTAAAAGAATGACAACCTTTGTCACAAAAGAATGGGCGTTGTCGAAGAAGTCGTGAGCTGTATGTGAACGTTGCGAGAAGCAAAGTTGGAAATGTGAGTTATGGTTGTGAAGAGAGATTTTGGGGAAGAAATGAGGAAAGTGGATGGAGGCGAAATGGATTAATGGGTTGATTTTCTTGAAGCCTATACTTAAGTGAGGATTAGCTGTGAGTGTTTGGTTGCGTTCTGGAATCAATTTGAGGGAGGTCAATGAAGCCATTTTCTGAAGGGGATTCAAAGTGTCATTTCACCAATAAAGCAACTCTATAATAACGGCGAACTAAGTAAGAATTAGGAATACTTGAATACAATTTTCCCCATGTCCGTCCGTCAATATTATACCCAATCAAGTAAGGGTGTGTTTGGCACGAAGGAAAATGTCTTTGTATTGCCTGTTTGGCCATAAAAAAGATTTCTCATCTTTTTTCAGAATCACTATTTGGCCATGAAAATTTCAAATACTTGAAGTTGAATTTTAAAATTTAAAAAACTCCAAAAAAATACTTTTCAAATTTTTCGCTTCAAATCACTCAAAAAAATTCAAAAACAACTTCAAATTGTATTTATGTCTAAACACAACTCTAATTTTCAAATATCATTTTCAACTTGAATTTATTTATTTTTTACTTTTTTTCAAAATTTCACAATTTTTATGTCCAAACGCCCATCTAGAAAATGAGTGAGTTCTTGTCACGACCCGGATTTTTCACCCTCGGAAGTCGTGATAGCGCCTGCTAATGTGAGCTAGGCAAGCCAATCCTTTAAACCAATTACTTCATTATCCAATTATTTCCCTTTAGCAAACAAACATAAAGCGATAACGTAATAACAACAGAAATTTAAATTTAAGCGGAAGAAAGCAATAAAATAGCTGAAATCTGTATCTGTTACAACTGCTTAAACCTTAATTGCCCAAAACCTGGTGTCACAGTATCACAGACGGTCTAGGATTAACTACATACAAGGTCTGAAGAAAATAACAATATATTGTTTCGGAATATAAGGAAAATGAAATAGGAAATAGGGATAGAGGAGACTCCAGGGCCTGCGGACACCTACAGGTCTACCTTGGACGCGTGGACTGAAGGTAGCCTCCAAACTACGGTCCAAGAGCTGCTCCAGGATCTGCACATAGTGCATAGTGTAGTATCAGCACAACCGACCCCATGTGCTAGTAAGTGTCTAGCCTAACCTCGGCGAAGTAGTGACGAGGCTAGGACCAGACTACCAAATAAACCTGTGTAATTCAAATATATACAACGGAAAAGAAATACAGAGATAAACAGTCAAGTATGGGAGGGGGAGCATGTTGCGGGGAGATATCAATTCCGAATAGAAAGACATCAAGTAAACGAAAGAAACAATATAACTCGGGTATCAACAAAGAATCAGAAATCAACAAATGCACGGTATCACTCTTCGTGATTTTACTCTCGTCATCACCAAAGCAATCATATAATAAAAATGTGCACGACATCACCCTTCGTGCTTTTACTCTCTTTCCTCACCATATAATCAATATAATCGGCACAGAATGGTACATCGTGCGGCACGACATCACCCTTCGTGCTTTATACTCTTTCCTCACAATCATACACGGCATCACCCTTCGTGCTTTACACTCTTTCCTCACCAAAAAAAATGTATGGCATCACCTTTCGTGCTTTAACTCTCTTCCTCACTCAAACAACAATCACAAACAATAGGGCAAGGGAATGAATGAAATTATAATAAGAATTCCGGCAAGGGAACAACAATTCAACAATTAAGTCCCGGCAAGGAACAACATCAACATCCCGGCAATGGAGATAACAAATAAAGCAATAATAGCCCGGCAAGGGTGACAACATAATGATCTCTACTCTTTCTCACTTTTACTTCACAATTCACTTCACAACTCGAGCCAATGCTCTAGAGGTTCAATTATCACTTATACTTTCACAATTCACTTAATAACTCGAGCCAGTGATCTAAAAGTTCAATTATCACTCATACTTTCACAGTTCGTTATACAACTTGAGCCAACGCTCCTCAATGTTCATAAATCACAATTCTTTCCACAAACTTTACACAATAAATAGAAATCTTCACCAAGGCATGGATAATACAACGAAGTCATGAAAACCACAATATAAGACTCACGGGCATGCTAGACACCAACGTATAGATACTTGTCACCATGCCTATACGTCGTACTCCACAATTACCACATAGCAAATAGGACTCGACTCCTAATTCCTCAAGCTAAGGTTAGACCAAACACTAACCTCGATGCCATGAACACAATTCACGTTTCAATTATAGCTTTACCCCTTGATTCCACCACCAATCCGCTCGTATCTAGTCACAAGTTACTTAATTACATCAATAACCGCTAGATGAATCAACCCCATTGCATGAAACTGAGTTTTCTAAAGTTTTACCCAAAAAGTCAAAAATCATTCCCGGGCTCACATGGTCAAAACTCGAGATTCGAACCAAAACTCGACTACCCATTCCCTCACGAACCAAAATATATAATTTATTTTGAAATCGGACCTCAAATCGAGGTCCAAATCCCCAATTTTTGAAAAACCTAGGTTCTACCCAAAACACCCAATTTTCCCTATGAAAATCATTGATTTTAAGTTGAAATCGTATTAAAAGATGTTAATGATTGAAGAAAACTAGTTAAAAACGACTTACAATTGATTTAGAGAACAAGAAGCCTTTGAAAAATCGCCCTAGTGTGTTTATATTTTGAGAGGATATGAAAAATGGTTTAAAATTCGTCTAAGTATAAAAGTTGCAGGTCTCAGATGTGGGAATTGCGAACAGGGGTTCACAATTGCGAACCCCGACCTCTGCTGGCTTGGGAATTGCGAAGGGAAGCTCGCATTTTCGAGTTGGGAATTGTGAGAGGGGCATCGCATTTGCGACTTAAGGCTGAAACAGGGGGTAATCGCATGTGCGATCGAAGCCTCGCATTTGCGAGCAAGACAGGCCTGGGCTGTTTTCGCATTTGCGAGCTGCGAAGCCTGGAGGCCTGGGCACACCTGCTAAAATCTGCAACTTCCTAAGTCTAAAAATCCACCCCGTGGCCTATACAAAACTCACCCGAGCCCTCGGGGCTCCAAACCAAACACACATACAACCTCAAAAACATCATACGAACTTATTCGTGTAATCAAATCACCAAAATAACATCATGAACATCGAATTAAACCTCAAAATTAATAAAATTTCTCAAACTTCTTTAAACATCAAATTTGCATTTAAGGTCCGAATCACGTCAAATGGATTCCGTCTCTTACCAAACTTTACCGACAACACATATAAATAATATTGAACCTGTACCGGGCTCCGGAACCATGATACGGGCCCGATACCACAGGTTTCACATAACATTTCACTTTCAAAAACATTTATATTTTCCAGAAAACAGTTTCTTTCAAAAATTCATTTCTCGGGCTTGGGACCTCGGAATTCGATTCCGGGCATACGCCCAAGTCCCATATTTTCCTACGGACCTCCGGGACTGTCAAATCACGGGTCCGGATCTATTTACCCAAAACGTTGACCGAAGTCAAAATAATTTATTTTATAGTCAAAATTTATCATTTTTCACAGATTTTCACATATAGGCTTTCCGGCTACGCGCCCAGACTGCACACACAAATCGAGGTGATGCTAAAAGAGGTTTTTAAGGTCTCGGAATGCAGAATTTTTTTATTACTTCTATTCTGATGTTTGATTAGTGAGTAGAAAACTATTTTCGAAAAATATTTTTAATATTTATTAGTGAATAGAAAATAAATATTGGCAAATAAGTATATAATTTAGGCAAACAATATGGGAGCTGAAATGGGTAGGAGGGGAAAAAGGGATGGGGTAGGGGTGGNGAACCCTCATCTTATGAGGGAAAAATAAAATTGGAGAAAAATGAATTCATGAGAAAAAAGTTTTCCAAAAATATTTAAGCCAACCAAATATGAAAAATATTTTTTTGAGAAAATAATTTCCTTCATATGTCATCCATATATGGCAAACAAGGGTGTCGACGAAATGTGAGCACCAAGCTAGATCGTGACTAGATTGTAGAGAAACTTGTGAGTTATGACACGATTAAGCAGTGATTCAGACCCAATAACGATTGACCCTATATATATAAATAGCAAATACGTACAAATATGAACACAATCAAATCATGACAACAAAAATCAATCAATTATCTTATTCCAATTTCAATTTCGTTATAAGCTTTACAAGCTTTCTTGCAGCTTTCCTTAGACTATGTTAGTTGTTAGTTAGGTTTAACACACTCACAAAGCTTTAACACGTAACTCTTGTCAGTTGTCACTAGGACGCTACCAAGAAGTAACAATAAGAGACCATAATTGAGCAGTGACCTCGTATGCGTTGATGATTAGTAATAGCAATTTATATTTTTGAAAAAGTAAGCATATGAGCCCATAATTGAGACGCAATCCGTAATGCCCCGTAAAAATTTGCCAGGGATCTAAGGCTTTAAAGTGCCAAGAACAAGCTAAGATGTACGGAAGGTTGTAGGATAAGTTTAGCAGTGAGCTTTGCAAGCCGCGATACGAATTTGTGGACCGCACAATGCGTCACGAAGTGGGAAGAAGAATAAACTTGAGAGGATGATTCTGCGGTCAATTACATGGATCATAAATCAACTTCGCTGACCGCAGAATTATCACATAATGGGTCAGAATGATGCTAGTTTTGAGGGTCTTTTTGCGGTAGATTATGCGAACTGCATACTAGTTTCGTGGATTGCAGATCTGTTGCAAAAATGGTTAGGCCACCTGGGAAATCTTTAGAAGGAGAATTTATGGTCCAATGTGCGGATCACATAACAGAAGTGGGAACCGCGGAATTGCCGAATATCTAGCTAGTTCAATTCAAAAGTTCGGAGGATCATTTCGCGGTCCCTTTTGGCGGACCGCATAAGCGATATGCAATCCTTTTCGCGATTGCGGATCTGTTTCCAGGGGTATTTTTGAAAAAAAAAATTATCTGGCTATATTTCTAACATAAGGCTGGAAGGGTATTTTAGAAGGGGATTTTCATCTATTTTGAGAGAGAGAATGAGGAGCCCTGACACTTATACATATCAAGACCTTAACTCGATTCTTGGATTTCAAAGATGCAATTTACAAGGTCTTCTACTATCAAGGTAAGATTCCATCCCAAGATTTCATGCAATCTTTAATAATGAAAATGTCAGATGAGAATCAAATATTGGAGCTTAAGGGATGGTGATTAGAATCCACAAGCTCCCAATCTTGAGTTTGGATATTGTGGAGAGTAGGGAGAAGGTGTT